CATACATGATTTTATAATGTAGGTCAGATTATACCCCCCTCTGCTCAAAGCCAGCTGATGGTGCTTTCCATCATGCAGAGTAAAAGGGAAGCCCAAAGGTGAGGAGAAAGACTCCCTGTGTCCTTGCACTCCAAACCTCTCTCCCGTCTTCCGCCTCCTGCTCCCTGTGCTTCTGCCTTGGAGGCACGCTGGACCTTCTTGGACCTTGGCCTTGCTGGCCCGCTTCTGGCTCCAGCCCTTTGTACTTGTTGTCCCTCAGCCAAGCATCCTTTGTGTTCATTTTCTAGGGCTGCCTATAACAAAGTACCACAAACTAGGTGCTTGCAGTGATGATCTGAGTGTTCCCAACACAAAGAAATGGGAAATGATTGCAGTGATTGGGAAAACCAATCACCCCATGTAATCATCACACCTCACATACATATGTCAAGATAGCACGATGTACCCCGTGAATATGTACAATTATTATGTATCAACTAACATTACCATTATTTTAAAACATGAACACTATTTTTAAAAGAAACAAATATATTCTTTCCTAGTTCTGGAGCTAGAAATGTGAAATCAAGGCATCAGCAGGCCCTGCTTCCTTTGTTTGTTTGTTTGTTTGTTTGTTTTTCCCAGTACCAGGAATCAAACTCATGACCTCACACTGGCCAGGCAGGCGCTGTGCCGCTGAGCTAAATCCCCAGCCCCTGGCCCTGCTCCCTTTGGTGGCACCACAAAAGAACCCTTCCCTGTCTCTTGTAGCTCCTAGTGTTTGCTGCAAACGCTGGGGTGCCCAGGCTTCTTGTCAAGTCATTCCAGTCACGTGATGGTCTTCTTCTTTATCTCCCTCTCTGCATGTGTATCTCACTGTTCACATTTCACCTTTTTATAAGAATACCAGTTAGATTAGGTTATATCCCAATGACCTCTGTAAAGAGCTAACTTCCAAATTAAGATACCTTACTGGGTGTTAGAACTACACGATGCCTTTGGGGAGACACAATTAAATCCGTAACTCTTCTTTCAGATATCCCCCGGTACTGTCTTTATACCTTCTCAGTCAGACCTTCTCCAACACCACACCAATTCCACCTGCCCCCTGCGATATCCCCTTTCTTTGTTTTACATTTCTCCCTGGTTATTATTACTGTCTATTTGCATTATTAATCTTGCTTTTGTTTTCCTTGCAGATAGATAATCATTTGCACAACAATAGCAATTTTGATTCCTTTGCTCATTGCGATTTTCCCAGTGCTACAGTACTCCATGCTCCGTGGTAGACACTGTGCAAATGCATATTGAATAAATAAGCTTTATTCCCCAAAGCAACCTTGAAGTTATCAAAATGATTGTCATCCTCATTTCAAAAATAAAGCAACTGATGGCAACCAAGATTAGGTATCTTGCTTAAGATAGTGCAGCTAATGAGTTTTGGAGCTAGGATTTGAACCAGGTCAGATCACTCTAAAACCCATGCACTATCAATTATGCTGCACTGCCCAGGGCAGAAAGAAGGGACTTCCTGCAGATGTGCTATCAATTCTGCAGCTGCTTAAATTATTGCTTTTTTTTTTTCTCTAGTTAAAACAGCACTTGTAAAACATCATCAAAATGTAAATCTTCAAGTCTAGGTAAGTGGTCTGCCTCAGCTTGCAATGTCACTCAGACAACTCTGACATTAGAATACACTTTGTGTATGTCTGAAATTAAAAAGGAAAATCCAATTAGGTAAACGACTCTTTGGCTCAGGTGATGGTTTCATTTCTCTGGGCAGATTAGAAAAACCAAGAAGCATATGCAGTCTGAGTTCCCAGACAGCTGGGAGTTAGGTATGTATTGCCACTTTCAAATTTTAGACACAAGGGCTCCTAAACCAGAGTGAAACTTGAATGTCAAATTAATAGATGCTGTGGTTATAACCCCCAAACCCTCTCTTAACCAGCAAATATATGTACTGCATTTCCACAGGCAAAGAAAGTTAAGCAATGGTCTCACTAAATCAAGCCCCAAACCTTCCAGTGAGGCAAAGGAAGTTGTTTCTATTTGAATTATCCAGATTGGCTGTCAGCATGGATCATATCCGCTGGGTAATTGCTCATCTTTCCTCTTTGCTCTGTGTGCATAGCCACAGTCTAGGAGTCATTGTTCAGTGGAAATCACCCATTGCTGACATGTTCCTGTCATGGTGATGATCCTGCAATAAGCCAGGGACATTAACCACAGCGGAGAGTCATGTGTGGCTGCATCTACCACCATCATTAAATGCAGGTCTAATCAGTGATGCAGAAACAGAAAAAGACAGTCAAGCTGAATGCAGAACCAGTTTACTCTGTGAAGTTCCTGCTTTTGGATAAGAAGAAAACGCATAACCATAAAAAAGGAAGAAAAGATAAAAGAAAGAAGGAAACTTATGTCCCAGAAGCCAACATAATTATGTAAGTCAAAAAGGCAACAAAATGGGGTAGAATTTCCAGCTTTTGGAAGAAGGCTGAGTACTTTGGATGAACTGGCGGGGTTGATCAGATTCTTTGCAAAGTTAGGCCATTTTTTAAATTTATGAGTTTGTCTCTTCTGCTTATCGGTATGGGGATAGCTTTGGGGACAGTGCACTGCATGTTATAAACAGTACATGGTGGAAAAGAGTTGACTCTCCTACTATCCCACAGTAAACTCCACAGAAAGAAAGGGCCTTGATCCGCACTGTGACCGGACCTCCAGCCTGCAGAGGTCCCAATCCCTGAGCATGGCTGCAAATCTTGTTTTGTGGACCATATGGAATTCAAGAAAGAGGAAGGAAGCAGCTGCTGTGGGGAGCAGCTGAAACATCGTGTTAAGCCTGTGCCTACTTCTCATTGGTGCAGCTAACAAGGGGCCATTCCTTTTCTTCCTGACACTCTCCTTCTTAAGGCCCTCAGGGAATTAGGCCTTGATATTAGTCATATTTCCCAATTCTGTGTGAAATTGGTCAGAGGCTGAAAATGACTTTTAGTGTGGCGGGTGTTAAATTTTGCTTTATAGCTCTCACTTTGCACCTCTCTAGCTTGGGTAGGCCTTAGAGATTACTGTACATTTTAGTTCAGTTTCATCATTCCCATATATTGCAGTTCCAGGGAATATTGCTTTCTTAAGCCTACAAACTTTTATTACTCTATCCAAAGATGAGGATAAAGTTTCAAAATTTATTGCCTAACCTGCTTCTATGAAATACACTCACATCCACCAGCACACGGCAGAGCCTACCAAATTGCACAGACACGCACGCATCCGTCAGTCACCACCTGTGAATATACAAGCAATTGGTGTATTTTGAAGACGCAGGTGGCTATGCATGGATGCATATTACAACCTCCTTTGCACAGAGAAAACAGTTTTGAGACTAGTGCAGCATTACTGTCAAAATATTCCAGCATGTTTATTCACAAAGTGGGCCCTTCCCCACTCTCACTGTCCCAAATGGGTAGAAATGCTTTAAAACTCTTTTAGGCCACATTTAAGATGTTGAGGGCACTGTTAAGATGCAACCAAATAAAACCGTATGGCTACAAAGCTTAGAGCAATTGCTTCCATTTCCAAGTCTTATGGAATGGTGTAGCAAAGAAATGCTGCTGTTTGCTAAAATGTTTTATTTGGAAAACACCTGTGTTTGGCCTAGAACAGCCACATCTTTGTCAATAAACACACCCTCCAGTGACTCGTTTGTGGTTGCAAACACTGTTCTCAGAAGTAGAAATCTTTTGAAGAAACATGTTGCATGTATTCAGAACATTAAGAGAGATTATTACACGAACAGCAATGTTATACCAGTTAAAACAAAACCCAGTCTGCCAGAAATCATGAGATACAGAACTTCAGAAAGATTTTCAGTAAACACATACTGGGTGCAGGTAACTCTTCTGCATAAATATCCTATTTACAATAAACCTGACCCTTTACAAGGTGCAAGGATTGGGTCCTGGGCTAGAAGCTACCCCATGAAACAGATGGACATGTTGTGACTCATGAGAATTTTTATCTTTAAAAAAAAATCCTTTGAGTAGTAAGAAACCCGGCTATATCTAAGTAGAGGTCTGGCCATTGTCCTTGACTTGTAGGAAGAGATATTTTTAAATTCTTGAATTTTCCAAAACAACAGAGTGTTTCCTAAGGTGGATGCCTGAGGCCACATATGACCATTTCATACAATGACTCAGGGTGAAGCTGGACACAATGATGGTCTTAAGGGAATGGCTGACCACCCCAGAGAGGTCAGTGGGATGATCTGAGAGCAGAGACTTTGGTTAATGAGGGATCTGTTGACTTAAAGCTTAGTGCAACCTACTCATGGAGGCCTGGTAAATACCGTGAGCTCAGAGGTGCAGCAAACTTTGTGGATGGGCAGGACTCTGTGCATGCGGACACAGCCCCATGCCAGGAGGGCCATCCAGAGAGAGCACCCACTTTGACTCACCCCAAGTGTTTCATCTTTGTGTTGGTCTTGATTTGTCACTTTCCCTAATTTGTTTCCTACTTTGTCTAATTTGTTTCTCTCCTTTCATGAACACGAATGTGATATAATAGCCTTAGTGGTCTCTGTGAATCTTTCCACTAAATGGTAGAACCTGAGGGTGTTTTGTTTAAATTAATTTTGTTGATACACTTTAGATATACAAAATAATCACATTCATTATAGGAAATTTGCACTTGCACATAACATGTCTTAATTCTCCTGTTTTCCCCAATCCCCTCTCCTCCTTTCAACCCCTCTCCTCTTCCTTATTTACAAAAGCATTATTCCCATTTTGTAAGGATGGTTTTGGATGACTTTTGAACTTGCAGTTGGTGTGAAATCCGGGCAGAGTTGGGAGTTTGGAGGACTGGTGCCTGTAACCTCACAGTTTGGCTCATTCCTGGATACCGCACAATCTGTATGTCCAGGACTCAGCCAGACTACCCAGACCTAAACACCAGGTTACTCAGAAGATTCTAGGAAAGTCATGCCTCAGCCTCATGGTGGAGATGCACCTGAAAGTGAGACTCCTTAGGAAGCTGGCAGGAGCATTACTCAAGAAGAAAAACTCTTGTATCTTCACTGTTTGTGTCTTGCAAAGATCCAGGAAGCACTGAAAGGGCCAGCTTTGGTTGTAAAAAAACAACAAGGAAGGAGAGTAACCTGGGAGAAGAGTAGAAGACAGAAATGGAGAGAAAACAGGATGAAAAAAAAATGGATCATTGCACAGAGTGATTCTTCTGTTAATAAACCCAGGGAGCAACTAGAGACTTCATCTCATTATGATCTTGCAAAGCCCTCCACACCCATGTTGTAGAACACCCTCTAATTATACACTGGTCTTTTATTTTTAATAATATTTTTACCAAAATACTTCAGAGGCATATATTTAATGGAGGTAATATTATGCTTCTAAATGTTGGAGGTAGAAGCAAAAAATCATATTTGTTTTTTTGGCAGATATGGAAATTAAAGTCTAGGGAAATTAAATTGCCTATGATCATATACTCCCTTTGAAACAAAAGTGTTGGAGAACAAAATAACAAGAAATTTCTCATTTCTGGCAACAACAACACCACAACAATAACAACCACAAATTCCAAGGAGAAGCTAGCAAATAGGAAATGAAATTATGTGGGGAAGCCAATGAGGGACATGATGTTATTTTAAATTAAAAACTGAAATATATACCTGTTGAAAAGGGGAAATTAAACAAACACTGTATGAGGGAAAATAATAAAAAGAAAATATTTCACCAAGAAAAAATTTCAGGATTATATCAAAATGTTCCTCTGAAATTGATAAAAAAAAACCTTTTTCTTCATTTCTTCTCTCTCCCTCAGAAACTTTATCCTTTCATTAGAAGTCAGTCATGTGCAGGAATCATTGATAGCTGCAATATTTCATCTTGTATTTTTTAATCAGTCACTGCAATGCATGTGCTGCTCATGAACTGTGCTGTGATTTCTAAAATATGATCCCAATTCCTTGGTACAGCTGTTCCATGGATGGGCCCCGGTACATCAGTTATCCTGGGAGAGGAGGGCGAATCCTCAGAGGTAGTTTACTTTACTGGTTACTGATGGTAAACATGAAAGTTGAAGAAATTTATCAATCAAAAGTTTAACCCTTTATAGTTTAAAACATATGTATTTTCATACCTGTTGAAAAGTGACCTCTGGGAAGACCAAGGGGGCCATACTGGTAGCATGATACTCATATTTGCTCCTCTACAGGTTATTTTTCACAACTCTCAGGTCTCTGAATCTGAAAGTGGGGAAAGAATAGCATAGTTACTCAACCTTCAGTTGCCTGCTGCCAGCTCTTAGCAGTATGGACACTACTGTCCTTCACTTTACATGAGGCCAGAAGTCTCTTGGTCCTATGCCAAGGACTTGAGTATGAAAACTAGATTCCTATGTACAACAAATCTGCCCATCTAAGATTATGCAAGCTTCCTTGACCTTTTATTGTTCTTTGAACACTATCTACCACCCTCTGCTTGAGCCCTGGCCCTGGTTTTCTCTGTATCTGGCTGGTCAGTCCATGGTTAGCTAGGCTTATTGGTCTGGAGCCTGTGGTAAGGGTTCATGTTATGGCGGAGAGTGTGTACTGCAGCAAGCCCCTCACTTCATAATCTGTACACATAAAAGAAGAAAAAGAAAAGTTGTTTTATATCGATGAGCTAGGGTTCCTTAATCAGACTAGCTTCTCCAGGTCCATTTCTGCCTCTGTACAATGAGGGCCATTACAATAGATGTTCTTTAAAGGGTCATAATTAAAATTAATTACATGCAATTTAATACATGGTTGGGTAGATATGGTTAAATGCATAATTAGAACACTTACCAAGGTTACTTCATTTCTAAGTTTTCTTTCTATTGTTAAATTTGTGAGCCACATTGTAAATTTCTTTCATAACTCCAAGAAACCTGGCTTATTAATACATTTGATCAGAGATTTTTTTTTCTGATCAACTAATTGGGTGGAAGAAATACATTATTGATATTTATATTTAGTCTCTTCAGGAGATGTCATAAAGGAATTCAAGATGACCACAAACTTGTCGTGTTTTCTCTGAGGCAGACAGTAGACATGTTAGAAATAATGGCAGGTAGGATTTGGAGAGCACGTATCAACCACCTGTCTCTGTCCTAAGTGTCTTTTATGAACTTACACATTTAATTTCCACAACTTTTGTATGACACAGGCATACTCCTCCTCTCTCTCTTACTAATGAGGAAATGGTAGCATATGGGATTTGAATATGTTTCTCAACATTACCAAACTGATAAGTGTTGGAGTCAGGATTCGCATAGGTGCCTGGTGCTGCGACTGGTACTTTTTATCGACTGTCCTATGCTTCTGCTCCCTGGGAACAGAGAGTGCCATGTATACAAGTAAAAGCGATTTGATGTCACTGTGCGTTGTTTCCTAGTCCATGGAGTGAAAAAGACAGGTGAAGGTCAAATAAATGATTTTTAAGCTACTTTTGAAATTTAGGAATATTTCATTCTCAGTTGGCCAGAGTAGCACTTCTGTCACCAGATGCATTTATTTTGAATTCACCCCAGCCTTTAATTATTAATTAATCCAGGTAAAAACATGAAAAGTGGTGTAAGCATTATGATGTTCTTAGCAAAACACATTTATATGTGTGTGCTTTTGATGTATATATGTAAATATATGCTTGTGTGTGTATATATATATATATATATATATACATATACATATATACAGATATATGTGAGTATATAACAGAAATCCAAAATATAAGCAGTGGCTACATGTTGGGAGTAGGATTAAGGCATGACAACAGCCCCTCTGATTATAATTTTCTTTAGTTTTCAAGTTTTCTACAAGGTAACTGCATTTTTTAATGGATTTCATTTTGAATAGTTAGCCCATCAGGCCTGAGTTTCATTTCAGCATACCACGTATGGCAGGTTGCACCTTTGGCTCCTTCAAAGCCATTTCCAGTGTCTCCCTGAATTGAATGTGCTCAGCACAATGAGACATCTCCCACACTCAAGTCATGCCTCACCTCTCTTGGCGTTGGGCTTGTGTGGGCTTTGGGGAAGAAGCTGCAGTTTCCAGAGATTTGTTGACCCAGGACTCTCCTACATGTGGCAGTTTGCATAAAAGAACACTGAGAACTTAGGAGAAGAACTGCCGACATAAGAGGACTAATTAGTCATGTAGATCTCTACCCGAAGTTATACACCATGAAAGTCTTTTCTCTCAGCAATCTGCTTTCCCAAGGAGGAGAGGACCCAGGTCACAGCCCGAATTCAGGGCTCACCTCTCAGCGAAGATGTCCTTTGCAGACTGGCCTGACTGTCCCAACTGTGGCCAATAATGGTTACTTTACAAAGCCTGTCTGATTCTGTAAGGCGAACACAATGGAAAAGTCATTCTTTATAATAAATATACTATCTCTACCATCCAAGTTTGTGATTAGAAGATAGGTCTGCAGACCTCAGTCAGGCTTCATGCATTCATTCATGATTTCATTTATTGATTCCACAAGCACCTTTGGATCACCTACTGTGTGTTCTCCCCTGAGCCAGGCAATGAGACTGCAAAGGAACACAACGCCCTTAGCCGATTCTTCCTGGAGCTGAGCACGTAATGAAGGTGACAGTGTGTACATAGCAATTACAGTGCAACAGGCAATTGCAGGACTAGATGAATGAACCTATTTCTTAGGCACAAAAATATGTCAAGTTGTACAAGACTTTGTATGAAAGTACATGAACAGAAGTACACGTGAGTTTGCTTATGCAGCATCATTGTGCTTAAAGAGATCAAATGTGCCGCCTGTCGGTGCTTGGTGAGCTCAGGCATCAGACACGTATCCTAAATAATAGTAACTTTATTTGCAAGGCACCTTTTATCTTGGTAGTCCACAACGTGTTTTATAAACTCAATAGATGACTGTAATATATTTTTATAAACATTGGTTAAAACACTGACATGTTAATGTATTTCATGTTATAAAGTATTTTAGTTTTCTAAAAACCCCTCCAATAGTAATTTTGTTAGCACTTACATTAAAGGCTGTCATTTGCACTTCATAAAACATGTCAACCTGTTGACAGACATAAGATAGCAATTTTTTCCATAGTTTCATAACAAACTACTGTGTCTTCCTCAGACTCCTACTCTCATTTTTCCTAATTTAATTTTATAAACACGAAACCTGAAGAGATGACGAGAACAGAAGGCGTGTGTCACCTTTCTGGGTGACAATCCTACTGTGATCTTAGTGTAATGTGAGTGGGCCAAAAATGTGTGCGATGTTATTTAGTGACTTGCAAGAAAACATCTGGAATTTAATGTAGCAACGTAGACTTTGCAAAAACTATAATCATAATGCCGGCAAGGCTCAGTGCTCTGGACGAAGCCCAAACTTTTAGTCAGCACCACGATGGCACTGAAACCCAAGCTCCCGAGAAAGGAGCTCACAGGAAACACCACAACATGTTCTCCGGTCCTCAGATCAGCCACCATTTGGTAATAATGCAAAGACAATTTGAGGCAGAATTTTGCGTAAAGAAATGGAAATGGAGGCAGGTGCTGGGGAGTGGAAAGGGAAGGAGTTAGTGCTGTGTCTTTGGTTTAGCTTGTCTTTGGTGTGATTTTTATATGTGATGCCTCTGATCATCATAAAGATAGATAAATAAGTACTTTTTCATGAAATTTATATTCACTTTGCATAGTGAGATCTCAGAAGCATGTCTAGACAAATGCTATCATACAGCATGCTATAGCTGGAACTTGAAATTCATAATTTGTGAAATGTATTCATTATATCAAGCATGGTTATAAGGTATTATTGAAACAAGGGAATATAACTGAGAGGGTAGCACATTAAAGCCATTAAAAGATTCTATGATAAATCAGCCTTAGGCTTACCTGGACACCTTGTTCTTGGAAACTAATTTGAATGAAAAGCAGCCAGAAACATACATGAGTTGTTGGAAGAATGCAGAGTGCAGAGAGGCTGACAGCATTTTGATAATTTGCTTGCTTAAGTTATGTCTATATTTTGACATTGCGGCTTTCATTGCAGATAGTTTTATATCTAAAATTTATATTTATATTAGAGTTTCCTTGAGCTAATGGCTGAGCATATTTAAAATGTTATCATCAAAAAGGTCTATTTGACCTGAATTTTATTACAGTTATACAAGAAGTAACTTCATAAACTTCACAAATCACTTCTAGTAGGTGAACTATAGGGAGTACAAAGGGATCCATTAACATTCAGGTTGAGGGGATATTAATACATAGGTGGGCACAGTATTTTGAAGCTGCATCAATTCTCAAGTCCTATTTCTGTCTCCAAGTCTTTGGTGATCTTAGGCATGCCATTCCACCCCTTTCATGACATTTTTCACTTCTGTATATTGGGAACAAAGAGAACCTACTATATATGTGTTTTGCAAGATTGTAAATTACATTGAAAGAGAAAATGTATGCAAAGTTATTATGCAAGGTGTAAAGAGTTATGTACATGTAATAGCATATTGTTTTTCTGAGATGATTTTAGTATATCAGTTTCTTGTCCTAAGGATCTCTAAGTGATATGAAAGCTTTATAGAGGAGCTGTTTTCAATGATTTATACTTTCTATCCAGTAACTAGATGCCCCAGAAGGGATGGAGAAATGTATACAATATATGTGGGCAGAATTACCAGCAGCCAGAAAACACTCTATGACTTTCTTTCCCTGTAAGCTCTAGGAAGCGGTTGGAAGGAAGTGGGTTTCAATGTGAATGTCTCCCTTTTAACCTTACACAACACACAATGACATTATTTCATCATATGTAATGATACATCGGTGTGCAGGCGATGGTTTACCAGCTATTTTAAGCATCTCTGCCTACATACATAGTTATACATCACTCAATTTGTCAGAATCCTGATTGCAACAAAAATTGACCTCCAGCCAGATGTTCATTCTCATGTTCTCATACAGACTATATATAATTCAAATATAGAAGGAATAAAGTGAGTAAAAAGGAACAAGAAATGTTTTGTTTTTTCCTCCCTTCCACTTCCTATCTATTTGTGTTCTCCTGCATTAATAAAATATATGGGAAATAGAGCACAGCTAAAGTAGAAGGGTGTTTGTTGTTGTTTTTTTATAGTTTGAATGTTCTTATAGAAGAGAGTTACAGCTTTCTGAAGGAGAATTGGTATATTTCCCTCCAGCTGAACCCCTTCCCCAAACCCCCACTACACAGAGAGGGAGGACTTTCT